TTCAAAGTTGGGAGAAGGATAAATAAGACTACTCAAAACTCATGAGAAGAATATGACAAAGCATGGATTTCATATATAAAAATAAATTTACAAAATAAAAGAAATAAAAGTCACAACTTATCTCAAAATCCTTCCCAAGCAAATCCCTAGAAGTTCTTTTTAAGCCTATCTTTACAAGCACTTTCAATTCTCTCCTAGAAGTGTAATGAAGAAGAAATCTCTCACCTTCCCTCTCCTCTTACAACCCTAGAAAAAAATCTCCAAACCCTTGACTTTCTCTCTATCTCTTCCTCTTGCCTTTCACGCCACCCCCTTTTCACGCCACACGCAACTCATTGAAGTCTTCTTCTTTTATTAGGGGCTGCCTCCATTCAAAATTAATTCCAAATTTCTTCCAAAATTCCATCCAAAAGTCAACTCTTTTCAATTTAAAAGATGTGTCATTTGATCCAAGAGATATATTCTTTCATAATAGAACATTCTAAAGTGTCTAGATGCAATAAATTACTCCAAAAGGTATTTAGAACAAGTGTCCCTTTGAAAATTCATGCAATATTCACCTCAAACCACCTTAATACCAAAAAGTCATTGGCGCATTTGACGTCAAATCTGGTGCATCATGCACCAAGGCTCTATCAAACGGTGCATCATGTACCAATCTAGCGTATCATGCGCTAGATTCCCAAAATTTGCTATTTTGGCTCCAAATTTTGTTATTTTTGCTACTTTTGCTTTAAATGCCTAAAAATAATATATCTGCAATAAAAACACAAAAATACCCTTCTTTAAAATGTAATATCACCAAAAATAGACATAAAATATATACTTAAAAAAACATATTATTTTGATGTATCAGTTACTTCAGATACCTGTTAAAAAATTTGTCCAAATTCAATGAATCATTGAGTAACTACCTCTGACACTTAAGAACAAGGTATTTGGTGCTTTTGTGCGGCCTTCTCGGTTTTTCTACCGTGTAAGCGCCGGTTATAAGCACTTAGGCGCCACAGTTCTTCTGCACTCCTTCATTTTTTTCTCTAAATTTGATTTTTTTCACTCTTTTTACCATTTTTATCCATTTGATTGTACCTAAAAGAAAAACACACAAATACCTTTCATTAAATGCAATACCCCAAAAATAGGTATAAGAATGTGTACATAATGGCTATATATTTTAGGTGTATCAGTAGCCTCTTCATTTCAAGTTTAGGTGGTTTTTCTATGAAAGGAGTAAGATTTTTACTACTCTCTATAATATCTATTATTTCAAACTTTTCTTGAATAAAATCTAAATCCTCAGAAATTTCTTTAATAAATCATCTTTCATTTTGTCCTCGACTTTATATTACAGTATTCTTCTTTCAATTCTTTTTTTAAAAGTTTCAATAAAATATTCATTACTTAAATCATCATTAATCTCCATTCTGAAGCATTCATCATCTTTTTCATTGTTGGATATTTCATAGATTTTGATATATTAAATGTAACTTCTTGATCATTGACTCTCATGGTTAATTCACATTTTTGCACATCTATTAAGGCTTTTTCAGTGGCAAGAAAAGGTCTTCCTAAAATAATTGAATTTTTTTTATCTTCCTCCATATCTAATATAATAAAATCTATAGGAAAGATAAAAAATTTATAAGATAAATTTATCCACTTTACCCAATACATTCTCTAGAACTCCTTTAAGATAAGTAATTGAACGATCCACTAATTGAAGAGTTACAGTCGTAGGGGAAATTTCTCTTAATCTGAGCCTTCTAAAAATGGATAAGGGCATCATATTAATACTAGCTCCTAAATCAAATAAAGTTTTTCCAAAAACTCTTTCTCCTATAGCGCAAGGAAAGGTAAAGCTACTAGGATCTTTAAGTTTTTCATGAAGCTTTTTTTGAATTATTGCAATACACTCTTGGCTTAGTGCAATGGTCTCATTAGCAATAAACTGAGTATATCCTTCATAAACTTCAGATAACTTGGTATTTGTTCCAGGGCTTCAACAAAAGGAATATTAATGGTTAATTTCTTAATAACTTCCAAGAATTTTAAAATTTTTTTTATCTAAATTTTTATGTTTTAATATTTGAGGAAATGAAGGTGGCAGTTTTTCTAGAGTAATTTTCATTTGTTCAATATGATACTCTGGTTCATGTTGAATATCTTTTTCAGAATTTTCAATTCCCTCTCTTTCTTTCTCAACTTTAATTTCCTTTGAATTTTTGTTTCCAATTTTTTTCCATTTATCAATTGAATAGCCTTAATTTGCTCTTTATTCTGGTCTTTTGGGTTAATCTCAACATTACTGGGCAAATTTCCCGAAGGTCTATTGCTCAGCGCAGTAGCCATATGCACTAATTGATTTTCCATGTTTCTCATTGCGGCTCATTGGCTATGTAATTGATTTTCCATTTGCAATATTAATTCTTCCATTGATAATTTCTTCTCCTTAATTTGTGGATTGTTGTTAAAACCTAGAGGATAATAATGTTTAGGGCTAATATTTCCCTTGTTATTTAAATTTTCTAATGGATTCACATTGTTCCCCCATTGTGGATTTACTTTGTTAGGGTTATTATTATTCCAATTAAGATTAAGATGATTCTTCCAATCTTGATTATAGTAATTTGAATAGGGATTATTAGTTTGATTATTTATGGCATTTAAAGTTTCATACGGAGGTTGGAATTCTATCATTTTTCCTAATGAATTTTTCTCAATCACAGAAGGTGTTTGAAAATAGTCATTCTGATTTGATCTATTTTCATAGACATTGCAACAATTTGAGCAGCCATAACAGACCTAACATCAGAATCATGAACGCTGACAACTCTTTTAGGATTTAGCCTTTCAAAAGGTCATTAAAAATTGTTAGTAGTCATATTTTCAATTAAAGAATATACTTCATCAAATGATTTTGATATTAATGAACCACCAACAATAGCATCGAGGAGATCTCCCTAATCCATTATAAAATGTTTGAATTATCAACCAATCAGGTAAAACATGGTGTAGACACTTCTTAAAGAGCTCCTTAAATCATTCTTAGGCTTCATAAATTGATTCTCATTCAAAATGACAAAAAAATGTGATATCATTTCTAAGTTTAGCAGTTTTATATGGTGAAAAATATTTTTTCGAGAATTTTTTAGATAAATCTCCTCAAGTTCTAATTGACCCAGGTTGCTAACAAATTTTATCCCTTAATGAGAAAGGAAAAAGTATAAGTCTGACAGTATTATCAGACACTCCGTCATATTTAAATATAGCACATAATTCTAGAAAACTTGTAAGATGTAAATTAGGATATTCAGATGGTGTTTCTCCAAACTGGTTATTTTGTACCATTTGGATGATAGCTGATTTAAGTTCAAATGAATGTGCAACAACAACAGGGGTTTGAATACTTAAGTGGATTTCATTTGTTGTCGAGTTAGCATAATCTCTTAAAGGTCTTTGTTGACGTTCCATTTTGTTCAAATTACTATTTTCTTTTTCTTGTTTTCAAATTTTTTTTATAGTTCTTTCTAATTTAGAATCAAAAGGTAGTAATCCTTATGATCCTAAACTACACATACAAACTCACAAATAATATATATATAATTTAAAAAAAAATTATATATTTTTTAAAACACTTACACAAAATAGGTTTAAGAGTTCAAATACATTCTTTTTAATTTTTAATTAGAATTTTACTGTTACTCTCCGGTATATGACACCAAAAACTTGATGCACCCTTAGTATGTGCTTCTTTTCTATAGATTCAAACCCTTACGCTTAATTTTCCAATAATTTTACTTTTGTAATCCCACAAGGTGTTTCCAATATTTTATATTCACTAGGTTGTAAGCGCAAATATATGTATCGCTCAAGTAATATAGGGCTCTAGTGGAGTGTTAAGTATTGATTCCACAGAGAGAATGTTAAACTCTTACTTAATTAAAAGGACTTAAATAGATAGTACAAGCACTACAACAACTATAAATATGTTAACTAAAGTTAAATGTGAAATGAAAATCTAACGAAACTAAATTTACTATGCTAATTTTGCAAACTTAAAAGTTAAATCTACTATATACAGGTAAATATATAATCTACTATATACAGGTAAAGTAATTTTAACGAAGGTTTCCAATTTAAGAAAAGTATCTTTCCCATTTATAATAAGGTGGTAGCTAGTGAAGAATCAAATCTCTTATTAATTGCATGTGACAAATAAGAGCAATAATATGCTTTAATCTTCTGGTCAAGCGATAAAGGACATTGGCTAATTCAGATGTTTTTAATCGACATCTGTGGTTAGGCTGAGAGGATAGTTGCTCTCACTCTAGAGCACTCACTTCTCCCTCACCTGAGGGCTAACAATATCACCATATGGTTTCTAAACATCTGAACTAAATTGTTGATTTTAGTGTGTCACCTAAAACTGTCACCACAAAATCACCAATTCTACACCCTTCAAACAATATTTCCTTATTTGTTTGCACGTAATCCCATGGAAACTTCACTCTTCCATGGTACTAAAGTGTGATCCCTACTTGAATGCTGAAAATATGGCCATCCTGGCTCTTATGTTTTTGCATAGAATTTAACAAATCAATTGACCATATTGAAAAGTACATGAAGTTCAAGATGAATCATCACAATTTAAGAAATTAAGATCATTTTCAAACAACTATTGATTATTCACATCACTACTTATTATTATAAAGGGAAAGACAAAGAAACTACTCAAAATTCATGGAGAAGAAATAACAGAACATGGATTTATATAAATTGAAACAAGTTTACACAATACATAATTTAAGTAAACAACTTATCTTACTCTCCTCCACAAGCAAATCCCTTAAAGTTCTTTTGAATCACTTCCTTCTACTTACAATGATAGGCACCCCTCTCTAATGATTGCAATGAAGAATAAATCTCTCACTTTCTCTCTTTTCTTACAACTCTTAAAGATAAATCTCTCTAAATCTCTCAAAAGTAAAAACTAAGTATAGAAGTTTTGCTCTCTTTTCTTTTCTTCTTTTCTCCTCCTTAGCCCCCCTTTTTGTCAAAATGGGTGGTTAAATAATGTGTGGCCAAAAACACAAGAATTTCCTTAAGCGCCCATTTAAAATTCGTCCAAATTCAATGCATTTTGAGAAATAACCATCTCGACGTCATTTTGGCACTGACTGGCGTCATTCGGCGTTGGTTGTGCTCCATACAGGTGTGCTAGAGCCGTTCGACACTCGTTCTAGCGTCATTCAGCGCTAGAACATTTCTTTGCCTTTTTTTTCTCCTAATTTCATCTTTTTGTTTCTTTCAATCCAACTCCCCAAATCGAGTATACCTGCATCAAAAACAAGAAAATAACTTTATTTAAAGTGTAATTTCACCAAAGTTGACCAAATATATGCATTAAAATATATATGAAAAACTGAATAATTTTTTGGTGTATCAGGAGGGATAGAGAGTGAGAGAGAGAGAGAGAGAGGGAGAGAGTTTTGAGAAAGATAACTTAGTCTAACTTATACATAGTACATCAAAATTATTCTCTTGGGTAAGCTTCTTGCAGCCAGTGATGCATGCATCACAATTGAGTCTACAAGAAAATTAAGAGCTAATCTTAAGGCAAAACTTTGATTTTTATTAAGCTTGAAAACTAGCATTGGGTCTACCTTTCTTAGCTTTGTAGGTTATAGGTAGGGAAGAGGATGGAAGGAAAGCATCTTCAATTAGGATAGAAAAATTCCCAAAAATACAAAAATGTTAGTCTAAAAGGGAATTAAGCGGTGTGGTGGGTGATATTTGAGAGTATATGCAACATTTAGGCTAGTGATATTAGGAAGTGTGTTGCGGGAGGAAGTAGTTGGCTCCATTGCCATGAAAAGACGAGGCTCGGTGTTATGAAGAGCTGTAGAGACTGGTTATTGAGGTCGAAACTTGGAGGTGAGGTGTTAGGTTGAGTGGTACTTTTGATACTGCCATTAGATCTAGAAGGCTAAGGAAGGGTACCCCTAGTTCGACTATGGCTTCTTCCACAGCTTGGTGAAAGGGTAGCTTATAGGATGTAGATTTTAGCCAGATTGAAGAATCTCGAGTAAAGGAGTTATTGGTCAAACATGGAGTCAATTTTCGTTCATACTCAACATGTTGTAATAATATTTTGTATTAATTTTAACACTAAGATGATAAAATATTAGGTGATTGCCTTCGGCAGTCCAAGGATCCACATCCAAAAGAAGGACAATTTTGCCAGCAATCTTTGAGATCCCAAATTCTATCTAACAAAGAAGAATATAAGGAAATTGAACCTAAATAGGAATTTCTTTGAAATTTTCTGTTACAAATTAAAAGTAATAAAAGACCTACTACTAATGTACCAAGGGCAACAAGGTAGTACCATTTTTAAATCCCTAGCATCAGTGAACTTGAAAGCAAGAAACCCTCAACAGAAATGACATCAATGGTCCCTCCTAATTTTCAGAATTTACAGATTGTTTAAAGCAGATTAGTATAGAAAGGCCGTCGGTCGGGCGCATACCCAACCAAGGTGAAAGACCATTTCAGTTAATTTCATCTTATTTGTAAGAGAAAACTACTTTCTTCTCATTATAAGGAATGAAGGTGTGGTTGAATTTGGCGTGGGGAGGAGTTGCGAGGATAGAAGCATTAGAGAATATTATTAGTGGTTGGCGGCTAGGATTTTGAAAATAGCCGTCATGAGTAGAAAAAGCTCTAGCAGGGCAGAATTTAACCGACGATCTTGCTTTTTAGTGCAGCCCCCATAAACATGAATATTTTTATTACATTCCTAAAAATTGTACTGAAAATTAAACAGGTGTAAATAAAAAGACTTCTAATTTGCTTTCTACAGAAAATGATAGCATGACAAAGGAATCCATGTCAATACTTCTTGAATGGCCTGTTTCTATCTCGGGAGATTATTTTATAAGTTTTGCACATTAATATCTATTTGTAAGTGGACCAGAACTTTTCCTATGAATTAGTAATTGAGTTTTTTCTTATATCAGTACACTTGAATTGGTTATTACAAATAAAGATCATGAACCACAATACTAATTCTCCTGTATAAATTTAGATGCACACACTTAATTTTAAAAAAAAAATAATAGAAAGAGATGCATTTTTTTACTGAAAAGTATTGTCCTTTTCTAAAGTATATGTCGTAAAAAATGTATACTTCACCCCCATTTGATCAAAGATCTAGATTAAATAATGAAGATCACATGAATTTTTCCCTTAAAAAATGAAATTAAATTATCACACAGAAGACTCGTCCTCTCCATATAATTCGCTTCAGATCATTGGGCATGCTGATTTTATTTAAATCCTCTAAAATTAATTTGATTTCATCAAATTTAATTCTAGTCTTCCTAAATAAATTAATCGATTAGAAGGAGCCGATTAGAAGGAGCCAACCAGGACTAAATTGGCGTTTAAAATAAAAAATTGGGACCTTTTACTCGCGCATGGTTTGAGACGTTCAATTGGGACGAGCACTTTGGAAGCCGAACTCCGAGTAGAACCAAACAGAAAGGAAAATAAATGTCCAATAAATAAAACAAAAAAATGAGCCATCAAATGTAGTCTATTTGATAACCACCATTCCAAGGAAGAAGAAACGTTCCCCGCAAACCTCCATGGCTCTTTCTTCCCCTCCACCTCCTCCTTCACAACATAATATCAGAAGACATAACCACATAGACAAGCTTCATGAAACCAAATCGACGCCATTCATTCGCTTCTCAAACATTCTTCTTTATCTCCTTCCTCCTCGTCTTCTGCCTTGGAAATGACAAGTTTCTCATTTCCACCATTAAAAAGAACGCCTTTGAAGCAATGGACGTCAGCCTTACTGACGTTGAGTACAAAGTTCCTCTTCAGGGAAACCTCACCAGCGTCCAAGCATCAGCTATGCTGATAAGAAATAGAACATTCTGGCTAAAAGGTGCCAATTTGAGTTCCTTTCACCTTCCCCCTGGCATCATTTCCAACTCTTTTAGCAGAAGAGTACTACTAATCAGCTACAACTTAGGCCACAACCTCTCCAATTCTCTGTACACTAGCAGCGTAGAGTCTGGCTTCTCTCTAATTTCACCAGTCGTTGGACTTCTCGCCTACGATGGTGGGGATGCAACTCACTCCAATCGTCGTGAACTCGGCTTCACTCTGACGGGCGAGCTCATTGTAATTAAGATCCCGGCATGGGAAAACAGAGCGGTGAGCTACTGTGCTCGGTTTGGGAAAAGAGGATATTTTAGTTTGGAAGGAGAGGAGTTGAACGGATGTTGTTTGACGAAAGGACCGGGGAGTTTTGGCGTGGTGGCAAAGGGTTTGATAGGAGAGTTGCCGGCGGCTGCACCGCCACCTCCGGCGGCGGATGCAAGGGAGAAGAGGTGGAGGATGTGGATGGTGGGTTTGGGAGGGGCAGGGAGCTTGGCTTTGGTAAGTTGGATGGCGATTTGGGTGGGGAGTTTGGTGGCAAGGAGGAGGGTAAGGGAGATGAGGAAAGAGGCTGATGAAGGACAGGTGCTTGACGTTATGTGGATTGGAGGGAGAAAAATTCCTGTTGCTGGATTAACGAGGACTGTGCCGGTGCTGTGATAAGGAAAAAAAATATTACATTCGGACAGCATAAATGTAGCTGAGGAGAAGAGGAATCCGACCTTCACCCTCGTTGTATTTGGGCCCTTTGTCCAGACATCGAATGTAATATTTTCTGATGATTGAGGGAAAAAGTTCAAAAATGTTTTGTTTTTCTTTTATTTTTTTTGGTGAGTTTCAAACAACATATTGTGAAAAAAAGGGTAAAAATTTTAGAAGGATTTTCTCAAAAAGTAATTTGCTTGAGGAATGATCAGGGTTCTTTGAATGTAAATTAAAATTTATAGCATAGATGAAGAATTGTATTGCACAAATGAAGCACAAATTGCGCTGTATTTTAATCGAATTTTGATCATATTTTAGTCCTCTCAGAACGTTTTATAATAAATTCCTGAACAAAGAAGTTTGTTCAGCACTTATTGGGCGAGTGTGGCATAAAAAAAAATTCTTAAAGTGACTTTTTTTTGCCGCTTTCTCGTGAGCTGATTCTTCTTCCTAAACGCAGGAATGGTGAGTGAGAAAATATCTCATTTTTAGTAAGCGTTCAGGAGCGTTGGACGAGAGAGAGTACAATGATTAGTCGCTCTATTTACTTCGTAGGACTTGTAATAATTTATCCAGAATTGAAGGTCATCTTTAGAAGAAGGGGAAAAGAATGGAAGGAAAGCCTCATGATAATTTAACCAAAATTGATGGGTGTCTTTAAAAGGGAAAAATATTATATCAGGACTCCTAAGATACTACGTTTGGATTGGAATATTTGGCTGTGTTATGGGAATATTCAATTTGCGTTATTTGTAAAAATGATGTGTTATTCGAGTATTATATGGTGTTATTCGATTATTTTGCGGTGTTATTGGAATATTTCATCACGTTAATTGACTTAGAGCTATATTATTCAGCATATTCTCCGTGTTGTTTCAATTTTCACTATGTTATTGGAATAACACAATCCCAAATCAAGCAATGCGAGTGAATATTCTAATAACACTTCAGCCCCAAATCAAGTAACGCGATGGAATATTTCAAAAACACTGCAAAATAATCTAATAACGCCATATAATACTCGAATAACACATCATTTTTACAAATAATGCAGATGAAATATTCCTGTAACATAGCCGAATATTCTAATTCGAACATAGCTCTACGTTAGGAGTCATGATGTAATATTTTTCCCTTTAAAAGAAGGGGGACATGATGGGAGGTGTAGCTATTTCATGCCTCATTTATGCGCAATCATTCATATCATTAATAAATTTATCACTCTACTTTAATCTTAAATTATTTGCCATTAATCTCAGAGTATTTCTTTTTAAAAGAAATATTCAATTGCAACAATATCCCAAAAGTTGGTCAGCTCCGAGTTAAATCAAGCCCGGATCGGGTTGTTAAACCAATATGAAACTTTTAGTGTATAATTGAATTATCAAATGAATTCCAAGTCTAAGATGCTTATGAGAGAATCGAGTGTTCTATAGAGTCGAATTCAACGAGTCCAAAATCACTCAATTTCAACATCAATATAATCATTACCCCTCTTGGTGGGGGGGGGGTGGACATTGAGAGCCAAAAGAATACTGAAGCTTAGTCGAGTTGAAGTCCAACATCTCTTCAGCATCGCAAATTTGAGGAATAACTCCCACTTCTACAACCATCAACTACAGTGAACCACCACCTGCCGACCATCGTTAAAGTGAAACCGCTTGCAGAATCACATGCGCTGTGAAATCCCATCATATATTATAGAGTAACGAGACATTCTATAGAATAACACACTCCACAGACAACGCAACAATGTTTCCCAAAGACAGTGTAACAATGCACTTCATATACGGTGCAAAGATACCTTTGAAAGATGATGGAACACTGTTCCTCAATGATGATGACTTTCCTTGAGCACCTAAAGCTCTTTCCTTGCATCGCACCGCTATGACACATGTTAAAAACTATGACTAAAATGATTCACAGCTCGTGCAAGTCCCATCTTTGGCCAAGCGGCTTACAGATGATATAACAACACACTATTCTGACCTATGTGACCCACAGCTTGTGCAGCTCTCAACCATTATACTTTCGACCTACGGACATCATCACAACTCACCATAACTTCCTACAAGACAAATTACAACCAACGTGGTCCACAACTCATGCAGCTTTTAATTCTAGTCTCTATGGCTTATGAACATCATTACAGCACACAAATGTGTCCTAAGGGATCAGCTGCGACATACTGGCTTCCAACTCATGCAGATGTGGGCTCCAGCCCCTACAGCCTATGGATGTTATCCTAAATCATTCCAACTTATTAATTATTTATATTATTTTTATTTATTCAATTTTACCTTAGTATGATATCAATGGATCCCAAATTGTCTTGTGAATCACATGAATGAAATGGAGAGTTGGTCGAATGAAGCAAGAATAAATAAAACACAAGTAATACTTAGTTTTCTTAGGAAATATTAGGGACATTGAGCCAAAAGAATACTGAAGCTTAGTCGAGTTGAAGTCCAACATCTCTTCAGCATCGCAAATTTGAGGAATAAGTCCCACTTCTTCAACCATCAACTATAGTGAACCACCACCTGCCGACCATCGTTAAAATGAAACCTCTTGCAGAATCACATGCGCTGTGAAATCCCATCATATATTATAGAATAACGAGACATTCTATAGAATAACACACTCCACAGACAATGCAACAATGTTTCCCAAAGACAGTGTAACAATGCACCTATAATACGATTCATATACGGTGCAAAGATACCTTTGAAAGATGATGGAACACTGTTCCTCAATGATGATGACTTTCCTTGAGCACCTAAAGCTCTTTCCTTGCATCGCACCGCTATGACACATGTTAAAAACTATGACTAAAATGATTCACAGCTCGTGCAAGTCCCATCTTTGGCCAAGCGGCTTACAGATGATATAACAACACACTATTCTGACCTATGTGACCCACAGCTTGTGCAGCTCTCAACCATTATACTTTCGACCTACGGACATCATCACAACTCACCATAACTTCCTACAAGACAAATTACAACCAACGTGGTCCACAACTCATGCAGCTTTTAATTCTAGTCTCTATGGCTTATGAACATCATTACAGCACACAAATGTGTCCTAAGGGATCAGCTGCGACATACTGGCTTCCAACTCATGCAGATGTGGGCTCCAGCCCCTACAGCCTATGGATGTTATCCTAAATCATTCCAACTTATTAATTATTTATATTATTTTTATTTATTCAATTTTACCTTAGTATGATATCAATGGATCCCAAATTGTCTTGTGAATCACATGAATGAAATGGAGAGTTGGTCGAATGAAGCAAGAATAAATAAAACACAAGTAATACTTAGTTTTCTTAGGAAATATTAGGGACATTGAGCCAAAAGAATACTGAAGCTTAGTCGAGTTGAAGTCCAACATCTCTTCAGCATCGCAAATTTGAGGAATAAGTCCCACTTCTTCAACCATCAACTATAGTGAACCACCACCTGCCGACCATCGTTAAAATGAAACCTCTTGCAGAATCACATGCGCTGTGAAATCCCATCATATATTATAGAATAACGAGACATTCTATAGAATAACACACTCCACAGACAATGCAACAATGTTTCCCAAAGACAGTGTAACAATGCACCTATAATACGATGCAACCACACATTGTGATGAGTGTGCAACGACACTCCCCAATGGAGATGTAACAATGCACTTCATATACGGTGCAACGATACCTTTGAAAGACGATGGAACACTGCTCCTCAATGATCATGACTTTCCTTGAGCACCTAAAGCTCTTTCCTGGCATCACACCACTATGACATATGTTAAAAACTATGACTAAAATGATTCACAGCTCGTGCAAGCCCCATCTTTGGCGCCAGCGGCTTACAGATGATATAACAACATATTATTCGATTTTGTTGTTATACGATTTTGAATTGTTGTTGTGATGATTTGAATTTGAATTGTTGTTGTGATGAGTTATATACAATGATTGTGAGTCTTATACGATTTTGTTGGCACAAAACATTATTATATTAAAGGACATGAAGTGTGAAGAAAGAAATATGAGAATTGAGTATGCAAGTTTGGCGCTATAGCGCTAGAATTAGCGTTATAGCGCCACAATTCAAATAACTCCTTTAAACCGCCAAAAATTTGATTTCTTTTCTTCTTCCTCTATATAAAACCTCCTAGGATGGGATTTAAAGTATCCCTATGACATTCTTATGTATTCTAAAGAGATTTGAGAGAGGTAATTTCATTTGATAGATCATGGAAAGCAATGGCAATTGGAGATTTGAAGAAAATAAGTTGGTGCATAAGGATGCTCAGACCTACTTCAATGGAAATCTTGCATTAAGTCTGGGGCGCCTCATGGAAAAGCTTGAGAAGATTGAAGGTGAGATTTCTTGTATGCATTCAAAGGTTGAAAAGTTGTCCCACCAATAAGAGCTTATGGATTGACAGTTGAAAATGCAATTCAATAGTTTAGCGTGTTTCCAAGATGGTCAAGTGGCTATGTATAGAACCATTAAGTGGATCGACGACAAATTTGCTAAGGAATTTGCTCATGCTCCTTTCTATCATTGCAACAATCAAAATTTTTTGGTAAGAGGAATGGAGAATATCACCACTGATCAAGAGTGGTCCTAAAGGATGTTTTTATATAGATATTTCTATTTTAGTGTTGTGTAATTATGTGTGTTGTGCGTATCATATTCGTTTTAAGACTTAGTGTGGTTTGTATTGTCTTTATTTTATGAACATCAAATTGATGTCTATGTGGTTGTGTTGTATGTAATGAACTTATAACTAATACAAAAAAAACCAATTATGTTCTGTTGTGAAAAATTGGCCTTATGTTTTCAAATTAGAGTTTGCAAACTTAAAATTTTGGAATGGCGGTGAACTCAATAACTATAAAAATTTGAAAAATAGTCTATCTACATCCTAGATTTTTTGTTTCCTCTGCAAATATAAAATAAATTTTAAATTTGGATGGGTATGAATGGCGCTATAGCACCACATTTGGGCGTTATAGCTTCGTTCATCAGGCTATGCATGGCGCTATAGCGCCACCGCCCGACACTATAGCGTAGAATTACCCGTGAGTCATTTAAGTGCCTAGAC